ACCTGAGGGCTCAGCAGGGTCCTCAGGTGCTTCAGCTGCATGACGCACACCTGTCTCTCAGAAGCTACAGACAGCGACAACTCCAGCGGTTACCTGGACAACCCGCCAAGCAGCCGATGCGACTACGCTGACGCGTACGCGACCGGAGCGCCGCGCACGACGCAAGGTCACGAAATGGATTCTCGGCGAAGCAAATAGCGTGCGCAAGCGCAGTGAGCTTTTGGGCGGGTCCTAGAGGATGCTTGATGAATCCTCTCCTCAACCAATCCCGTTGCTGCATGCAAACCAAAGACCAAGTCCCACCCACAAGGCTTCAGCGAGTCCCCGGCTCGCAATCATCTTGCTCTTTGATGCATTTCAGCGTGGCTGAGAGTGTTCTCAAATTCTCGGGGTGGGTGAGGCGGGCGAATAGGACAAAGGGCATTTGATGGAACTAAACACAAATAAGTAACCCGACTTGCACAGGATGTGTCTGCGTGGTACTGGGCAAAATATTAATCATACATTGTATTGATAAAGCTCAAAGCTACTTTTAAATAGGATCGCATTATTCTATCTTATATATCAGGAGACTATTAGGGGTGTCCCTTGCTCAAGTTAACACAGCCAGTAAGGGGTGGGACTGGGACTCAACCCAGATATGGAAGATTTAAATACTCTTTATATTCCTTCTGGAGTCTTAGCTCACTATCTCCATGCGAGGTCACTATAGCCTGTAACACTCCTGTCCCAAGAAATGATGGTTTCCAGAGTCTGAGGGAAGTGTTTTAGAACCAGTGGCCAGGGAAATGAAAAATGCCCTACTTGGGCACTGGATAAGTTCAAGATTGCTGCTTATATAAGGATGTTTTATGTGTCAGACCAGAGCTCTCCTGATAGGTTAAAGCTTGCACACCTGGGGTTGGAGATTGGTTAAGTACAAAAGGTACTAATTTCTTGATCTTTGTTAGGATTAGGGTGCCTTTCAAAATTTTTGGTTTAATTTCTTGTAACATATCAGAGAGATCAAAATGCAGTAAAGGAGTTACTCATAAGCCTCCTGTGGAATGATACAAGGTTGAGTAGACTTATAACTCTCCTGAAAGTGTCACATGTTCTCTTCAGACATATTCTGGGTTCAGAAGCCTCTCCTCCACAGTGGTCGCCTATGTCAACAGGTATTTTTCTTACTCCCACCAACCCCTTCTTGGAAAATAGGGAAGAGTAGAGGATAGCCCCTATTTTCACAGGAAACAAATGCATCATAGAGCCAAAATTATAATTCTTTTGGCATGGAACCCCCCTCGATTTTATTTCTAAACTCCTCCTCTGAATATGGTGGCAGGTTGTGTAAATTTATGCATTACAATTATTACTGACTTTGAATGAACAAAGGTAGAGATGGAGATGAAGGGAAAGACAAAGGCAGGAAGAAGAGGCAAAAGAATGTACAGGATAGGAGAATGCAACACAGAGGGATCCATTAGTGTAGCTGCTCTTTCATTAGTCCCCAAGACACTGCTCAGTCTTTTATAGGGTTGACAGAGGAGTCAACAGAATTATGATGTAGAGATGGGCCAGCGATGTAAGCAGTGAAGATGACAAGGCTACTGGCTCTGTCATATGACATAACTTAATTTCCATTGGCACAGGAAGAATTTTGTTTTTTCTAGTATTCTCCCTTCTCATTCAACAAAGCAAAGAAACTGGGGCTCTAGTTTTCTATGCCCCTTCTTCCTGGTCTCTCTGCACTCATTTCAGACGAGAGAATTAAAGCAAATGCCTCACAATACATCTGCCCCTGTCAAGTTGGTGATGGTGTGAGATGCCCATGTACAGTCAAATATAAGTGATGAGGTGTGGAGATTGTCTTCAGCATACCATAGAATATAAACTCAGCTCCAGTTTGTTCAAGAACCTTTATTGGAAAAATGTCCAAGGAGTTAGGTCACCAGCAGCTGGAGGGGCTGCCAGGTGAGGGGGGAGCACCAGAGGCTCCATGGAAGACATTGGAGTAGTGCAGTGCAGCATCTGCCTCTAGTCCCAGGCGATTCCTGTTATTGGTTGGGGGAGGGCTAGTACCCACAGAAACACCCCTCTCTAAGGCCCAGAGGCAAGATGTGAGAGCAGCTGGGGATGCCAAAAGTCCTGATGCAGGTGAAATGGGGCCCCTATTTGGGACCTAATGGGAAAGGATTGAATAAATGACTCTCCCTGGGCCTGGGGTATGGGAGATGCTTCATCTGATATCCGCTCTCTAGGTCCGGAGGTGCAGACTCTAACCGACCTACCTTCTGTCCCTGCTCACGGTGGAAAGAGGATAGGCACCAGCTTGAGATCATGGGAGTGTGTTACCCTCTGGAGTCTTGGTTAGATCACCTTTATATGCTCTCCCTGACCCCACCCCATCCCCATCCCCAGGTTGTTACTGCATCTTTCTTCTAGTTCTGTATCTTCACTCACACATCTTCACTCAAACGTCAATGGTGTTGATTGATGATGATTTTTTCTGTGAAAGAAAGTGGCCTGGGTCTTTAATTTCAGCAAGGTAGTAGATGCCATCCTTTCTCTTTGGCCTCCTCCATCCCAGACCTTCCATTCTTCCCTTTTTCCTGCCCCTCTTCGGTCTCATCCCTTTCCCTGGCTGCTCCTCTGGGCCCATATTATCCTTCCCACCTTCATTGGCCCAATATCACCTGTCTTGTTCCCACAGGCCTTCCCTGAGGACTCTGTTCTGGGCCCTTCCCCTTCTCCTTGGGGTTGTTGTTGGAGTCATTGTCCTTGATGATGTCATACTGACGGCAGAACAGCCCGATTACAGCTGAAACACAACAATACCATCTAAGCCTTGATGGCAGCCTCTCCACTCACAACCTTGAGAGTAACAACATACCCACACAACTTCTAGAAAATCTTTGGATTCCTGGTGTCCAGGCAGTCTTTGTCTCTGGGCTCTCAACAGCCTCCTCTCATTCTCTTTAAACTTGTCTTGATGATCCTCCCACAAACAAGCATCTCCCCATGTAATTTTTCCCACTCCATTTTCTCCTAACAGAAAAACCTTCGCCACCTCCCCACTTCACTGAGTCCCACACCCTAAGTACTTGGTCCTCCAACCAGCAGCTTACTCACCGGCCCACATGAGCAACACCACCACGATGATGACCACTTCACCTGTCTGCAGTGGTCGCTCTCCATCCAGCCCCTCCACTGTGATGTCACCTGAGAAGACAGGAAACAGACTCCAGAGTTACAGAGGACTCACTAAAACTGCAGAATGGAGATGCTGGGGATTAGAATCAGATTGGACCCATCATAGTATGGCCCCTGGAGTTGTAAGGTAGCCTATCCCTGGGAGGAAGCCATTGATGGACAGGTGGTTAGAGACCAATAGTCAGGAGGGCTGCAGGTCAGGTACAGAACTCACTCAAGCAGGCTGCAGCTGAAATGACAGGAGGTTGGGTGAAAGGAAGCTTAGAAGCCCTTCCTCCAAAGAATTAATTAGCAGTGCGTCTATACCCAGTCCCCTGCCCACCTGCTTTTCCTTCCTTTCCTGGCAGTACAATGAATAAATCATCCCTCTATTCATCTAAGCTAGATGATTGCTTGCCTTGGGGAGCAAATATGAGGTTATAAGTCAGGTAAAAAGCCAAAGAACTCATTAGCCCAGACCCTCACCTGGGCTGGAGCTGTTGGAGGGCAGTCGGTCAGAACCCTTGAGAGTTCGGAAGTGCACCCGGGGCCCTGGGGGGCTCTCTCCCCGAAGGCCAATGCTCCTGACCTGCACTGTGTAGTCGCTGTCTTCAGCCAGGCCCCAAAGGGCACAGGCCCTAGTGGTGGTGTTCACCTCCCGGATCACACGCTGCCCAGGGCCATTCTGCCGCTGCAGGGAGATGATGGGAGAGGAGGGCAGCCTCACCCCAGTTCCTGGCCACAGGGCTTAACCAGGGCCTCCAGACTATCCAAGCACTCCAAGGGAGTAGGGTGAAAATGGTAGCTTGAGCCAAGAAACACCAGTTCCCAGATTCCCCCACCTCTGGGAGGGGAATTTAAAGGGTGGATATAATGAAGGAATGTGCAGAGATCCAAGGACACAGGTCGGGGAAGCAGAAGGGTGATTCATACTTGCTGGGAAATGGAGTAGCCAATGACGATGTTGCCTTCCGGGACGTCCCAGGACACAGTGGCCGAGTTGGCTCTGAGGTGAGTGACCGTCACATTCACAGGAGAGGGAGGTCGGTCTGTGAGTGCCCAGTGTTAACAGGTTAACAGGTTTCACTCACTCACAGCTCCGGTTGACCTAACCCCCATTGGTCTTTACTCACCTGCTCGCACAAAGCCCAGGTCACAGCTGACCAGCAGGAGGACCGTGGGGCTTAGATATGGGGAGAGAGGCATCAGCGAAGCCATGGTCCCCATAGTCCGTTGAGGGGGCACTGGTGCATCCGCTTAACATCCAGGCGGGGCTCCTGGAAGAGGCAGGAGTTGTGAGGGTCAGAGGCTACCCAGAACGCATGGTGGGCAGCAGCTCTGCCAGGCTTCCCACGGCCCACAGCAGCCCGGTTTTCCGCTCGCCTTCCCCGCCCCCGCATAACCCGCGGCAACCCCAGTGCGCGGTTCTCCCTGCCCACACCCACCTCCGCCGGTCCTCGCGATCGGTCAGGCCTCCGGGGGCTGCTCGGTGCCCAGGGGGCGGCCCATCCTCCGACTCTGGCGTTGCCCCTACCCCATTCCGGCACTGGCCTTGCGAGGCCGGCAGCGCGAGGCCGAGTTGCCGGCAGAGGACAGTGGCGGAGTAGGCACGGCTGCCGGACTGCGGACCCCAGAGTCCGCGCGGGTCGTGCGGTCTGTCCCAGAGCTGGGGGCGTTGCCGGCGCGGCCTGGCCGCTTGCCTGGGTCCCCGGTGCGGAGGGCAGTGCGGCTCCCTCCGCCGGCCCCTGCAGCGGGATGTGACCGTCCCGGCCAGCCAGCCGCCGCCTTCTGCAGAGCTGGCCCCGCGCGCTCCGCCGCAGCCCGTCCGGGACGTGCGGGCCCGCCCCGCCCCGCCGGGGTTCTCGCCGCCGTCATCCCCCCTTCGGCCCCCCCACCCCGGTTCTCTCGGGGCTCCTCCCACGACCCTCCCAATGGCGGCCTCCCGGGCCCCCAATCCCTCCTCCCCGGACTCAAGCCGACGATCCGGCGGGGGCGCGGGAAGAGACGCAAGTGCGAGGGTCTTGGGCACCTGGAGAACCCCTCCTTCCCGGGGAGGAATTAGCCAAGTTGGGAGGAGGGATTCCACCTCCGTGCGGGCGGGGACTGAGAAGAGGAGTGATGAAGATAATTGTTTCAACAATCTATTACTTGTAGACTGCGTCAGCTTTTTAAGTCTCATTCATAATCTTATTTGATTCCCTTCGCTTTCTCATTCATTCTTTCATTTATTCGGCAAATATTTACGAAGTATCTCCTATGTGTCTGGCATTATGTTAAGACCCAGAGATGAAGAGATTGTTAAGAGTGCTGGACTTAGAGGGAGAAGTAAAGAGCAAAGACTTATGGCTGGCTGGCTATCTCTTGTCTCTGTCTTCTCTGTCTCTGTCTTCTCTCTCAAATCTTCCTGTCTCTTAGTTCTGCCACTTTCTGTGTGGTTTTAGAGAAATTGGTTAATCTGCATCTTAGTTTTTCCACATATAAAGCAAAGCATATGAAACCTAATGGGGTTGTTGTGAGGATCAAATGAGACAATATTGGGGAAAGATCTCTCTAAATCTTATAATACTAACTGCTAACTGAACTTCTCTGAGTCTGTTCCACAATTTGAAAAACAAGGGATGTCAAACAATATTGACCTTTTTTTTTTTTTCCTTTTCCCAGTCCTGGTGATTGAAGCCAGGGACACTGCACCACTAAACTACACCCCAGCTCCCCAGGCTCCCCCCCATACTTTTTGACAGGGTCCTGTTAAGTTGCCAAAGCTGGTCTCCAACTTGTGATCCTCCTACTTCAGCCTCCAGAGCCACTGGGATTACAGGCATGCACCACCATGCCTGGCTTAATATTGATTTCTTAGTGTTGATATATTCAATGAGATACTGTATGTAAAAAGTGCATGGCTCAGAGTAAATAAATGTTGGATAACATTGTATTTAGGGCAGAGTCTTTTGTTCCCATTGCAGTATTTCTATTTCTGTAACACTCCCGGCCCCATACTCAGTTCAGTTTGTGCACACCTGGGGCTCTGAAGCTTCTGTTGCTTTCCTTTCTGAGAGGAGAAGTAAAAATGGGCCAGTAGAGCAGGAAAGAACAACAGAGTGCTGAGCATGTGATCAAGCCATGACCCAGGTCCTCTGACTTCTGCTGATCCAAGGACCCTGACCTCTAGCCTCTTGGGGCATCCAGAGATTATCCAGAGATTCTCTCTGGACTGGGTATTGTCCTGCTCTCCCAAGCTTGAGGTCTTCCAAAGAAGAGAGCATTGTATCTAAAGGGCAAGAGTAATGAACCTCTGTTCTTCCTCTTCTGAAAATATAGAAGGGGCTGGCAAGTTTTGGGTGCATACAAAGAGGACCCCAGAAGCTCCCCCAGAGTGCTGGGAGCCTAGTAACCAGGAAAGAGTGGTGTAGCCAGAGATGCTGGGGGAGGTGCTCAGAGAGGCCAGGGTTCTTGGGTTAATCATCTCTGTGGCTCAGATAAAGCCCTGCCAATTGGAAGCAGAGTCATTTTGACCAGAGGGGTTTGTGTGGCTGAAGAGGCAGGCAGAACAGTGTGTCCATATTATAGGACCATGCCAGGCACAAAACGGTTTCAACACGTGATTGAGACCCCAGAGCCTGGCGAGTGGGAGGTGAGACCCTTCTTGATATTGGTCTTCTGTACTGACTCCTTTCCCTCCATCCTGGGTTTCTGCCTGCTCCTTTTTCCTTCCTATTTTCCCTCCTGATCTTCCTTCCTTAATAGGCTCAAATAATCAAGAGAAGGCTAAGGTCCTGGTGTGTGAGTATTGGGGGTGTGTGTGTGGTTCAAACACTGTCTGCTGCTACTCCTACCTCCAGCGCAGCAGACGTGAAGGAGGCATTGGCTTCCTGCCCCATCCTTATCCCCTTCCTCTCTAGTTGTCTGGGTATGAGGCAGCTGTGCCAATCACAGAGAAGTCAAACCCACTGACCAGGGACTTGGACAAAGCAGATGTCGAGAAAATTGTTCGATTGCTGGGGCAGTGTGATGCTGAGATCTTCCAGGAGGAGGGGCAAGCCATGCCCACATACCAGGTGACCCAGCCCCAGCCCCTGGACACAGTTGATAAAGATGCTAACCCCAGCCCCCTCTCAGCCTCTGCCCTCAGACAATGGATCCTGATTTTGGAAACCCCGAGAACCCTCTCTTCTTCCATCCTGATTCACTGACCTCCCTTTCTTGGCTTCTGATTCCTGCCTCATCCCTGTAGAGACTATACAGTGAATCAGTTCTGACCACCATGGTGCAAGTGGCTGAGAAAGTTCAGGATGTGCTGAAGGTACTGATGATTTGTTTGTTCCCTGCCTAGGCTATTCTGTTTCCCTCTTTCTCTTTCTTTGGTCTCCATTTCTTATTTTATGGATCTTAGTTGTCCATTCTTTCAGTCCTCCCTCTTGGATCCTTATTGTAATCTTATTAATCAATAATAATAATAATAATAATAATAACTATTAACTGCATAATACTTTATAATTGACCCTGCACTTTCACATTCATTATCTGCACAAAGACTTGTGAAGTTGGTGTTACTGTCTGTTTACTTTCAGATGAAAAAGAAAAGACTTAGAATAATCACAGTAGTTTGCCCAAATGCTAATAATTATTGGATAATACTGCTTTTAAGTTTTTATTTGAATGACAAAGCTGCTCTCATCCCCTTCTAGAATAAATTAGGGACTGAATAAATAGCTATGTCAGAGATGGGAGTCAAACTGAAGTTTCTTTCTCCAATCCAGTGTTCCTTTGACTACACCACATAGCCAGTGTTGTGTTCAGTTTTGTGATGCAAGAAGGGATAAGGAGTCCCTTGAAGTCCTCTTCCATTAATGACAAAGAAAAGAAAGTGCTTCCCTATATTCCAGCTGGGTCCTGGCAATCTAGATATCTTTCCTTCCTCAGGAGCCAGAGGAGGCACTGGTGGTACTTAGTGGAGGGGGCACCTCTGGCCGGATGGCATTCCTCATGTCAGTGAGTACCCTGTTCCCCAGTTTTCTTTCCTCTCTCTCCCTTCTGCAGATGATCCCCCAGGTCCATGAAGGTCATCATAGCTAAGTTTCTAGGTGGACCCTTCATTAGACTTGGGCTGCATGCCTCACTCTCTCCTCCAAAAGTTAGATCCCACCATGGAGTCCCATTTCTCCTGAGCCCATTGGAGAACCACCATTCTATTGGTAATGTCTCTACATCCCATGCATCCCTAAATAATCATCTCCAACTAGCATCTTTAACTGGCAGATTCCAAGTAGGAATGAGCTAAGCACTGGCCTAAGAGATAATTATACAGTTTTTACCCTCTAGGAGTTGAAAGACCAAGTTACTTGTTCCTTCACTGTTTTTACTTCTTCACATATTCTCCCTGTTGACAGGTCTCCTTTAACCAGCTAATGAAAGGTCTAGGACAAAAACCTCTTTATACCTACCTCATTGCAGGGGGTGACAGGTAAGTCACTTTGGCCTATAAATGTTTCATTTGGCCTGAATATGTGTTATTTTAGAACCTGAATTTGAATGACTTTAGACAAAGATTATTTCCAAAATACCTCAGTCCCCAGCATTCTTTATCGCCTTACTTTTGGCCTACTTTACATACTTAGGTTACCTGACTAGCCTTTGTAGGTATTTGAGTATTTCAACTCTATGGAGTGTCTATTATGGTGCCCAACAAACAGTAGGTGTTCATTCAATGATTGTTTTCCTTCATTCCCTTCTCTCAGCATAACTTGCCCTAAATAAGCCATAGACTTCTGCTTTACAACCAGTGCCTCTGACCTTAAGTCTGCCCTTATAGGTCTGTGGTGGCCTCTAGGGAAAGGACAGAAGACAGTGCTCTACACGGGATTGAGGAACTGAAGAAGGTCTGTGCTTCCTACTAATATTCAACCAGAGACCTCTGTCTGTTCCTTCTCATGGGGACATAAAAGCCCCAACATTCAGATCAAGTCTGTCCTGGCCCCGATATTATTATTGGGTGGGCCCAGGAGTCCTCCCAGTTATTTAACTTGCTCATCTTCCTGCCTGCCCTAGGTGACTGCTGGGAAAAAAAGGGTGATCGTCATTGGCATTTCAGTGGGACTCTCTGTAAGTGTGAAGGCAGGTTGAGTGGATTAATTTTACAAGAAGAAAAGGGATGGGAATGGAATAGTATGGAAGGTAGACAATGTGGGTGCTAGAAAACAGAAAATTTGCACAAGGAATTTTAATTAGTTTTACTAATTTAGATCCAGTTGTATGAATGTGGGAAGAGGAAAAAGAGATCCTATCTCAGGGGGCTGGGGTCGTGGCTCAGAGGAAGAGTGCTCGCCTAGCATGTGTGAGGCACTGGGTTCGATCCTCAGCACCACATAAAAAATAATAATAAAATTAAAAAAAAAGAGATCCTATCTCAGAATAACTGTGTATTGATCCATCATCAATCAAAATATATGGACTAGTCCAGGGGTCAGCAAACTATGCTGGCAGCCAATCTAACTAGCTTCCTATTTTTGTAAACAGCTTAACTGGCACATAGCCACTTGTATTTTCATACAGTTTACAGCCTCTTTTGTGCTATAGCACTAGGGACGACTAGTTGGACAGAGATCATAGGGCCCACATAGCCTAAAGTATTTATTCCCTGGCTCTTTTCAGAAAAATATGTCCCTTGGGCTAGTCCTTTGCTACATGAACTTTACTCCTTGCACCACCAACATCATCACCTGGAATTTATTTAAAAATTCAGGATCTCAGATTCAAGCCTAGACCCACTCAGTCCAAATCTGCATTTAACAAGATTCTCAAATAGTTTGTTTGAGAAGCACTGAACTAGGGACCCCAAGGTTCCTGTCAACTCCACAGCTCTCAATCAGAGAGAATTCAGTGAGCAGAAATCTAGATCTCAGCAGTGCATGCCATGGAGGAAGGCATACAAGGAGAAGAGGATACTGATTTCCAGAAGCTTGCAGTTTAGTTCAGTAATTTCCAAACTTTACAGAATAGAAAATTTCCTTAGAAAAACCTACTAAAAATGTAGGATCCTTAGGGTATCTGTTAAAAATGTGCCTCTGCTTTAAATTTGGATTTTTTTCTTTTTGTGATGCTAGGGATTAAACCCAGGGCCTTGTGCATGCTAGGCAAGCACCCTACCACTGAGCTACATCCCTAGCCCCTAATTTAGGATCCCCTTAATCGCTAGGAATCTCCCTTTTGAACAAGCATTCTGGGGGATTCTGATGCACAGGGGCCTTGGGGCAACACTCAGAGTAACCCCCTCCTCATGTCCTCCTCTCTCACCACCATCAGGCTCCCTTTGTGGCAGGCCAGATGGATTACTGCATGGACAACACAGATGTCTTCTTGCCTGTCCTGGTTGGTTTCAATCCAGTGAGCATGGCCAGGTGAGCCTTTTGTAATGACTGGCCAGCCCTGGGGGAGGTTGGGGCCGACATGCCAAAGTCTATAGTACAATCACAAAAGGAGGACAGATGGAATAGTTTTGTTTGCCAAATCTCAGAATACTAAAGTAAATATGGGGTACCCCTAAGTTTATGAAGTTTTTTTTTTGATTGGTTGATTGAATTATTCTCCCCTGGTTTCAGAGAGGATGGAAGGCAGTTTACAAAGGTTACATAACAAATACACAAGTTGGCATACATTCAAAAGAAGGATTGAAGAGTTAAGGAAAACAAGGGCGAGCAGAAAAATTGGGATGAGGAGAATGCATACCACAAAGATCTGTGCTTTTATTTAGGGTGAGCACCAAGGGTCTTTTCAAAGTAGCAGATACCAAGTGGCACCTACTCCTGTTTATTCAGCTCTCTTATTTTCATTCCCAATATCTCTCATCATTCCAGGCACCCTTTTGTTCCCCTCTGGCTGTTCAAATCCACCCCCCTCTTCCTTCCCTGAGAGCCCTGTGCTGTCAAACAACCTCCCTCTTAGCCTTATCTAAATGGCCATTTTGTCTGATATCAGAGAAAGTTAACCAATAGTGTGCAGATGTGGTTCTATACTTAGGGTGCCTGGGTATTAACAAATAAGAGGGAAGAAAATTCTTAGCCCCTTGTGTTAGAGATCTGATTTTATTGATTTGGAGGTAAAGCCCCAAAATGTCCATTTTAAAAAGTGTCCATGGAGATTCCACTGTTCAGCCAGTTTTAGAGGAATCTGCTAAATAAACTCATGGAGTGGGCCACCTGATATGACTGAGGGCTTCCTTTCACTGAAAGGATCACAACATTGGCTTTTTGATTATTTTAGAGCAGCTTTGCATGTTTTGTGGTGGTCTTGGGGAGGCAAATGAATTGGGTACTTTTGGAGGTATTTTTCCAAGTTTCAGACTCTAGATTCGTAGTATAATTCCTACGAAAGGTGTAAATGAGTCTGAGATACTCCTAACCCTGATCCTTTTCATGGAGGACTCTCCTTCACCAAAAATATATCTGCTGCAGTGGATGCTAATTTCAGGTCCTGTGACTAAGTGAAATGAAGAATTTCAAACAATGTAGGCGTGGAGATTTTCCAGTTGTTCCTTAAATCAGTGACTCCCAAACTTGGCTGATCTTCATAGTCATCTGAGAAGCTGTTAAAATATACTGATTTTTGGGTTCTGCTCCAGAACTATTGGTTCTGAATCTGAGGGTGAATATGACATCCAGAAATGGATAATTATTAAAAACAAAACTCCCCTGGTGATTTCAATATCCAGCCCAAGTCTAGGAGTTTGAATTTTAAACCACACGATATAGACATTATTTCACTTCTTTGCTTAAGTCTCCTCTTTCTTAAAGGTTCTAGGAAGTTTTAGAAATAGCCTGAGGATAAATGACTAATAAGAAATAACTTTATGCAATGGATATGAAATACGCAAAACTTGTCTGCTTTAGAAGTCACAAAAGAGCTGCTGGAGGCAGGAGGATCGCAAGTTCAAAGCCAGCCTCAGCAATTTAGCAAGACCCTAAAACCCTAAGCAATTTACAAAAGTCCCTGGGTTTAATTCCTGGTACAAAAAAAAAAAAAAGAAAAAAATTGAAAAGAAGGAGAGGAGGAGAGAAGGAGAGAAGGAGAAGAAGAGGAGTTATACAAAAGAAAAAATATATCAAAATAGTTCAAGAAGGGAGGGAATCTTTGCAGGGATTGATAAGGGGAAGTTAGGGATGCGATGTGCAGAAGTGACTTTTTAAGGTCCTGTCACAGTAAGTGATTCACAAATTGTTCCCTAGCAAGCAAATACAGGAGATACTCATTCTTTGACATTCTATGATTTGTAACTAAGCAGATAACAAGCCTGTAGCTCTCTTATCTCATTAACACATTGCTTTGTTCTTGATTAATTTATTCAAGGAATGCCTGCCAATTGTCAGGTGCTATGTATGCTTCATAACTTGCAGCTAGCCAAGCATGGTGTCGCTTGTCTTCTACCCCAGTGTCTTGGTTTGGCTGGAGAATCATAAGTTCAAACCTAGCCTGACTCTGTCTCCAAAAAAACCCAAAAAACAAAAAAACAAAATTACAGTCTTATTGGCACACACCTGTAATCCCAGCAACTCCAGAGGCTGAAGCAGAAGGATCTCAAGTTCAAGGCCAGCGTCAGCAATTTTTCAAGGCCCTAAGCAACTAGCAAGGTCCTATTACAAAACAAAAAATAATAAAAAATAGCTGGAGGGCTGGGGATATAGCTCAGTTGGTAGAGTGCTTGCCTCGAATGTGCAAATCCCCAGCACCATCAAAAAAAAAAAAAAAAAGAAAAGAAAAAGAAAAGGTGGTGGTGGGGGTTTGGAGATATGGCTTAGTGCTTAAGCAGCCCTGGGTATAAATTCCTAGCACCCCCCAAAAAACAAACAAACAAACAAATAGTATCTTGTAGCTTGGTTCCCTCACTATGGACTTATCCCTCCCTCCTCCTTTGGAAGGATTTCCAGAATGTATTTCCAGCAATGGGAAGGGCTGCTAAAGGACCGTAAGATAGAAGGCAATTCTGACATTTGGTGATGGGCATTCCCCTAGTGGGCCACAGAGAGCAAGGTTAGGGTGGCCATGGCTGTGGGGCTTATGGCAGTGGGGCTGATGCTAGGGCCAGGATACAAGGTTCTTGTCTCCTGCTAGAACTTTAAACTTGAATATTAGCTTTGCTCTGCTAAAAACTTTGCTGAAAGTATTATTAATCCTATCCTTGGGGTTCAAGGACACACTACCCCATGAGCTCCAAAGCATATCTCTCTACAAAGTTGTTGACCTCTGACTCCAATCATAATGTGGTCATTGACCCTGACTCTCAATGGAAGCCCTGCCTTTAGTTCCTCACAGACAATTCTTCTACCTCTGTGTCTCTCTGGACTCCAGAAATGACCCCATTGAAGACTGGAGTTCAACATTCCGGCAAGTAGCAGAGCGGATGCAGAAAATGCAAGAGAAACAGGAAGCTTTTGTGCTCAATCCTGCCGTAGGGGTACGGCCTCTCTCTCCTTTTTCTATGCCCTCCCTCAAGCATCTGGGAATTGCTGCTTAGGGCCTCTGATTTGTGGTTCAGTTCATCTTGCTCAAATTCCTGAGGTATTGTGTGTCATCTAGCATGTTTTAAATGAAATCCTATTTTCATTTTGAAGTGTTTTATCTTTATTCCAACTCTGATTCTCAAATCAATAACTATTAAACACTTCAGTGATCTAGGGTAGCTTTTTTCCATCTGGGTATAGACAGCCTGGTTTAGCCATTGTTGTCTCATTTAGACTCTTTCATATATTTAAATTTCAAATATGGGATGCTGTTCCATTCCTGTCTTTCTGCATCCTCTCCAGGATGGAGCAGGCCTTAGCCTCTGGGCTCCTATTTAATTTTTGTTTTCCTTTTTTCTGGATTGCGGATGCATCTTACTGGTACCATCTACCCTTATTCTGGCCTTAGCCAAAGCCTTGCCATTGCCTCCTTCTGCCTGTGGTGGGCACATTTATGACATTCTCCTTGATCTTCCTTGTGTGAGATAAGAAGAGGAAATTCCATACCACAGAAGCTTTCCACCACCTTCTCTCTTCCATGCTCATCTCTTTCTTCCACTCTACAGGCTCTCAATCTTTTCTCAATCACTGCTTTTTAAATGATCTTTGCTGTAGTTTTTGGAATGCTGTGTTACAAATCGGTACTGTTGCAATGGCTGCTTCATGGGTTTGTCCAAAACATGGGAACTGTGACATTTGGGTTGACAAACTACCACAAAACATGGTAGTTTAGTATTAGCTTTGCTCTGCTAAAAACTTTGCTGAAAGTATTATTAGTATTAAAGTGGGGAGAAAGTTTCAGAAAAAAGCACTCACTCTCTGAAAAAACCCTTGACTCAATTCAGAAGAGACCTCCTCCCTGAGAATCCTGAAGCACCACAAGGATGACCAGAGGTAGCCTTTTCCCTCTTTATTTCAGTTACGCCTACCCAAGCATTCCTCTCCTCAACACACTGGAAGCCACCACTATTGAAAGCATGTTCAGGGACACTAACCAGAGTGCATCCCCAAGGTCTTTAACCAGGATACATGCTCAGAGGTCACTAACCAGAGTATATGCCCAAGGTTCAAACCAAGATACATGCCCAGGGGTCACTAACCAGAGTGTATGCCCAAAGTCATTAACCAGGGTACATATCCAGGGGTCACCTACCAGAGTTCATGCCCAAGGGTCACCAACCACATTCCATGCCCAGAGATCACCAACCATATTCTGTGTCCAGGGTCACTAACTGGTGGACTCCAGGTTCCTTCCTCTATCAATCCCTTCTGAGTATCATTGCCTCCTCAGCCTGAGGGTCTCAGCGGTTCCTCCCGGATGAAAGGCGGAAGTGCCACCAAGATCTTGCTGGAAACCCTGTTGTTAGCAGCTCATGAGACTGTGGACTGTGGCATTGCGGCATCTCAAAGGTATGAAGGATCTGGGCAACAGATAGATCACAGTCAGCTGGATGGTGGACGGGGAAATGGGAGGACCAGGTCCAGAGGTTATTAACTTGGGCATGATCCAGGTCATACGGGCTGGAGACCATCCCATTATGGCCTCCTTCCCTAGTCTCTAGTCTAACTCCCAGATGGTTCACTTACTTTCTCATCTACTCTCTGATCCCATCCTCCCCAAAAGCTCTCTTGATGCCCTTACTCCTCTCTCTACTCTTTAGTTTTGTGCCCACCTCACCATGGACCAGCAGCTTTAGTTTTATGAGAATTGTGCCTTTCCCTAGATGGGGTGAGGAGTACCTAAATTTCTGAGATGTTGGGCCCTCCTGGGAACTGTTGACTTTTCTTCTAGATGCCTCCTGGAAATCCTCCGGACATTTGAGCGGGCTCATCAGGTGACCTACAGTCAGAACTCCAAGATTGCCACCCTGATGAAGCAAGTCAGCACCAGGTATTTGGATTTGTGTTTGGAAGGGTCATCCTAGGAGCAGGGGAGAGTAGGGAATCTGTGAGATATGCTAACATAGGGAGGTAAATGGATCTACCTGAAGGGTCATGGTTGACTCTTGTTTGTTTACGCCTATGCTCTTCCATATGTATTTCTGACCTCTGGTGATCACTCATGTCCTGATCTCTGATGCATTGTCAGCCTGGAGAAGAAAGGCCGAGTGCACTTGGTTGGCTGGCAGACCCTTGGCATCATTGCCATCATGGATGGAGTAGAGTGCATCCACACTTTTGGCGCTGGTGGGTTCCCAGTCTCAACATTCTTCCTGATTCCACCTGACTCCAACTATCCAGATATTTTCCTGCCAACCCATGGAGGATCTCACAGAGGTTCCTCAGTGTCCATCTTGCCCTACCTAAATAGGCATTTCAATCAAATTATTCGTCCTTTCCATCCCATCTCAGTCCCTGATCTCTCAACTCCCACCTCTGCTCATGACTATGGCCTCACCCACACCCCACTTTCTGCTTTTCTCCCAGCTTCTAAAGCCTAGAGCCTTCCTTTCCTATAAACCCCATCACTTCTCTTTGTCTTTAAACTTTCCAGATTTCCGAGATGTCCGTGGCTTTCTTATGGGTGATCATAGTGACATGTTTAACCAGAAGGCTGAGCTCACCAACCAGGTCAGAGGAAGACAGTTGGAGAAGTTGTGAATTTCACTGGTGTGCAGCGGGAGGGAGAATAGGAGAAGGTGAGGGTGGAAGTGAGAATACGATGGGATAAACTGTCCAGAGAAGGGAATATGGATTAGAGGTCACTAGGCTTTGAGGCAGCTCGGGGGGTGTGGACGGCTCTGGTTTTACTTCCTAAAACCTGGCTCCAGTCCACTGACTTGCTACATCATCTTGGGCAAAAACACTACCTTTTTGAACCTTGATTTTTACATCTGTAGTCCAAAGGGCTGCACTCGATGTGCTCTAAGTCCTCTTCAGTCTTGTGCTCTAGAGTGTTCTCATGGAAGAGACTCTCCCATCATCTTCTGCCCCAGGGTCCCCAGTTCTCCTTCTCTCAGGAGGACTTCCTGACTTCCATCCTGCCTTCTATCACGGAAATTGACACTGTGCTCTTCATTTTCACCCTGGATGGTAAGAGGGGAGGTGGGAGTGAAGGGGTGAAGGGCTGGAAGTGGTAGGGTAGCAGAGAAGCTGTCATTTCTCTGGATCTTAGGACACCTGTTAAGAGGGAGGGATGGGGTGAGTGTCCTAACTGGAGCTCAGGGTGGCAGGAAGGAGAGTAGCACATCTTTCAACTCTGATGCCCACCCCTAGACAACCTCATGGAGGTGCAGACACTGGTGGAGCAGGTGAAAGAGAAGACCATTAACATCCAGGCCCTGGCACACAGCACTGTGGGGCAGTCTCTGCCGGTGAGGCTCCAGCCTTGAGGAGGGGACGTTGGGTGGCAGTTATAGCCAGGCCTTCCTGGACATGCCACTCACTCCTGCTCCTCTCTGTTTACCTTCAGACCCCTCTGAAGAAGCTCTTTCCCTCCATCATCAGTATCACGTGGCCACTGCTGTTCTTTGAATATGAAGGGAACTTCATCCAGGTAAGGGGGATGAGAAAGTAATATCCACTATGAGGGGATAAAAGAGGGAAGGATTCCAGAAATTGAAAACCCAAAGCAGGAGGAGAGAGACATCTAGCCCCCCTGCCAATTCAGCCAGGCAAGTTCTTGAGTTACCAGGTCACTAGACAGAGTTTCCAAGGCAAAGAGCTACTGGGTTCAGGTCCCTCTAAAGAACAATCAAAACGGGAAGGATTACTTAACAGATGCTCATTTATCCTGCCTTCTATCACGGAAATTGACAGGTTAATTGTGGATACGCTAGTTATCATCACAATCTCAAAACCTTTAGGGCATGACTTTTTGGCAAGATATTCTAAGCTGGACTTAGTGTATATATATTGCATTGATATGGTCCCCTGCTTGATAATGAAATTATAATAAAAAATTATAATCCAGGACAAACACTGATAATAATCATAGAAATAATAATCAGATTGTGTACTTTGCATTTTAGTTTAGAATGGGCATCAGGAAAACTGGGTGCTAGTCCAGCTCTGCTGTGTAACCCAAGGAAAAAAGGAATTTTACATCGCTGGGTCTTAGTTTTCACACTCACCATCTGCCCACTCTCCATGGGGCAGACCCAAGACCTTGAAGGGTTGCCCTGGAGGGATGTGGTCTCTCAACCATTATTTGAACCATCTCCTTCAGGAAGTTTCCCCACTTGACCAGACACAACTGGCTGCTGCCTCACTGGCCGAAGAAGTCTGTGGAAAACTTTTTTCCTCTGAGCAGTTCTCATTCTAATGTACATTTTTGTCTTCTCCTCCAAGTGGTGTGCATTTGTTACCTCTCTGCTTCTTGTCGTGCTTCCCACATTCATTGTCTCCTATGAGATTTTCCCGTCTTCTAAAAAGTCTTCTCTAATTGATCTCATGTCACCTTGGCCTTCCTTCATGTTCTGTACCTCTCCACACATCTAGGCTCCTTGACGGCATCATAATCCCTAATACACAAAGTGCAAAGTTTCTTGTTCCCTCACACCCTTTGAACATTGGGTAGCATATCTAAAGATATGTATTGGCCATTTGATCCTTTTTCTTTCAGTTCTTCCTCTCTTTCTAGTATATTCTCTCATTCTTTTTAGGAGTTGTTTATTTTCTTTCTGATTTATAAGGAGATGTATAGACCAAGTAACTTTTTTTCCTGTTTTATAGTTTTCCAGCTTGTTATGTTTCTTTGATTTCTATGTTTTTGATATGGAGATAAGTTATTTAAAATTTTCTGTACTCAAATCTATCCACTTTGTCTTTGTTAGTTTTTATCTTTCTCTAGATGTTGAGTTTACCTTTCTAAATGGATTGGAATTGTTTAAAAGAAGGAGGCTTCCATTAGGGCTTGTGAATCTTTAGTAGTAGAAATATTTTTTATGTAAACTACACTCAGATTTTTATTTTGAAAATTTCAAACTTGGAGAATAATTTGCAAGAATAGCTCAATGAACCCTCACAGGCTTTTCCCTAGATTCACTAACTCCTCTGGCCACATTTGCTTTATCTCTTTTCCCTGAATCGTTTGAAACATAGCTGGAGCTATGAGGGCACGTCATCACAATTACTTTAGAATGTGTCCCCCAAGAACAAGGACATTTGCAATATAAAAATGATACAATTATCCATTCAGGAAAATGACCGTTATTGCACTTCTATTAACTCATATCCAAGCTATATTCAAATTTCCCCAATTATCACTGTATAGTTTTTATTTTCTGATTCCAGGATCCAATCAAGGATAATGTGTTGCCTTTATTAATCAGGTCTCTTTGGTTTCCTTTAATAGTCCTCAGTTTTTCTCTTTTTTGATTCTTATGACAACGACATTTTAGAAGTCTAGTTCAGGTATTTTCCAGAACATGCCTCATTTTGGATTTGCCCAACTGTTTAGTCATTATATTCAAGTTGATAAGAGTACCCACAGGTGGGGTTGGGCCCTGTCACATCTGGAGCAACTGATATCAGTTTGTCCCTTTACTGGGGAGGCTATATTTGATCATATGATTAGGAAGATGTTCATTAGATTTCTCTGCATCCTGTTGGTCAACAATCTTCACCCATAGTTTTAGCATCAACTGATGATTCTTGGTTGAACCAACTATTGTGGTTTTAAACTGGTGACTTTTTATTTCTATCCCTTCTAGGTATTTTCATTGGTTGGCATTGTTCTGTAAAGAAAACTTTCTCTTCACTATGCACCCCATCTGTGTGTATTTAGTGTCATTTTGGACTCATAAATTTTTTGTTTGTTGTTGTTAAATGCATGTGTATGTGTGTCCATGTGTGTTGAGGTACTCAGGGCTACTGAGCTACATCCCCAGACCTTTTTATATTATTTTGAGACAAGGTCTTGCTAAGTTGCTCAGACTGGCCTCAATCTTGGGATCCTTCTGCCTCGGTCTCCCAAGAGGCTGGGATTATAGGTATGTCCCGCATTAAATGTGTCTTAATACATTCCTGTTGTTACCTGTTGGTTTGTGTGTGTGTATGTTTTATTTTGTTTTGATTTCGGTACCAGGTATTGAACTCAGGAGCGCTTTACCATTGAGCCACATCCTCAGCCCTTTTCATTTTTGAGACAGGTTCATGCTAAAATTGTTTAGAGCCTTGCTAAGTTACTAAGGCTCGAACTTGTGATCTTCCTGCCTCAGCCTCCCAAATTTCTGGAATTATAGGGGTGTGCCACCTCACCCAGCTCATTTCTCTCCTTTTTTTTTTTAATTGGAGTGGGGAGCACTGGGGATTGAACTCAGGGGCACTCAATCACTGAGCCACATCTCCGACCCTATTTTGTATTTTATTTAGAGACAGGGTCTCACTGAGTTGCTTAGCACCTCACTTTTGCTGAGGCTGGCTTTGAACTTGAGATCTTCCTGCCTCGGCCTCCTGAGCCACCGGCTTTACAGGCATGTGCCACCTCACCCCGCTCATTTCTCTCTCTCTTTTTTTTTAAACTTATTTATTGTTTATTTGGTTGTTGATGGTTTTTATTTTATTTATTTATATGTGGTGCTGAGAATCGAACCCAATGCCTCATACATGCTATCCAAGTGCTCTGCCACAGAACCACAACCCTAGCCCATCATTTCTCTGTTTTCTTAAAAATATATATATATATATATATTTATTTATTTTTTAGTTGTAGCTGTCAATACCTTTTATTTATTTATTTATTTGTATTTTTAAGAAATATTTATTTTTTAGTTGTAGTTGAATACAATATCTTTAATTAATTTATTTATTTTTATGTGGTACTGAGGATCAAACCCAGGGCCTTGTATGGGCTGGGAAAGTGCTCTACCACTGAGCCACAACCCCAGCCCCCATTCATTTCTCTTTTTAATGCTCAAAATTAGAGCTCATTCAGGTTGGTTCCCTGGGGCATGTTTATATCCATATTTGAACATTCTTTGTTGTGTTTATTTTTGCAAAACAAATACAAATCACCACCAACAACAACCAAAAACCTTTCTTAAGCCAAGGGTGGCATACCTTTTATATCTTTCCTGTTTTGCTTAACAAGATATTCTGAAAATGATTCCACTGCAATTAAAGCTCTCTTTCTCGTTGGTATTTAGCTTTTTGGTATGTGCCCATGTATAATGGTTTGCCCAGCCAATCTCCTGTGTAGGGCATTTAGGTTGTTTACAGTATTTTGCTACTGAGAATGATGATGCAATGAATGTGCATGTATTTTTGTAATCTTACAAGTCTTTGGGGGGATAAATTCCCAGAAGTATTAGAATTGGGTCAAAGGGTAAATACATATGTAATTTTGTTAGATATTGCAAAGTGATCCCCTATAGGACTGTACCGTGTTGCTTCTCATGCCAGCAATGCTTCTTCCATGTAGCTTCTCTGGGAGTGTTAGTCAGATTTTCATCCCTGTGACCAAAATACCTGACATAAACAACTTAAGTAAGGAAAGGTTTATTTTGACTCACAGTTTCAGAATTTTCAATCCAAGGTGAACTGGCTCCAAGGCAAAAATATGTGGAAGAATTTGGCAGAGGAAAGCTCATAGCAGGGGGAATCAGATAAAGAGACAGAGGGAAGAGTCAGGGACAAGATATAGTCCCCAAGCACGCCTCTAGTGACCTCCTTCTTCCAGCCATGCACTCACTGCCTGCCCACGGTTTCACCTCCTCCCAGTAGTTCATTCAAATTATTAATCTACCCAATGGATTAATCCACTGATGAGGTTAGAACCTTCTTGAGCCAGTCATTTTCTAAAAGCCCTTCCTCTGAATATTGCTGTACTGAGGACCAAAACACAAGAATTTGGGGACTTTTCAGATCCAATCCATAACAGAGAGTACTGTCCAGATTTTGCCAATATGATAGTTAAGAAATATCATTTCTGTGTAGTTTTCATTTGTATTTCTTTTATTATGTGTGAAGCTAGGCACTTTTCACCTGGTTAAGGGACTTTTGTGAATCTTTTTTATTCCCTTTATGAATTACATGTTAACACATTTTACCTCTTTTTCTGGTGAGCTTTTAATCTTTTTGGAACCTGACTTTGAGTTCTTTATAAAGACATTAGCCTTTAAAAAAATTATTTTAGTTGTAATGGGCACAATACCTTTATTTTATTTGTTTATTTTTATGTGGTGCTGGGCATTGAACCCAGTGCCTCATGCATGCTAGGCAAGCACTCCACCACTGAGCCACAACCCTGGTCCCAAAGACATTAGCTTTTTTAAAAAAAAAAATATTTTTTTAGTTGTTAAGGTACCTTTTATTTTTTTATATGTGATGTTGAGGTTCAAATACAGTGCCTCACACATGCTAGGCAAGCGCTCCATCACTGAACTACAACTCCAGCCTAAAGACATTAGCCACTTATTTATGATATATGTTGTAAATATTTTCTCTAGGTTTTAACCATGCAAAAATCTTTAATTTGGGGGGAGGAGGCTGAGGTTGTGGATCAGTGGTAGAACACTTTCCTAGCATGTATGAGGCACTGGGTTTGATCCTCAGCACCACATAAAATAAATAAATAAAATAAAAGTATTGTGTTCATCTACAATTAAAACAATGTTTTAAAAATCTTTAATTTTTTTTAGGTTGACCTGATTAATCTTTATTTTAGTCTATCCTTTCCTGAATGACTTGGGATACTACCTGTATCACATACTTAATTTCTATATTAATTGGTCCATTTCTGGACTTTCTGTTTTGTTCCAGGGGTCAGTCTATTGATGTGCTGGTATTATATATTTAATAATAGAGACTTAATAGTATGTTTGTTATCAACTAGGGATACTCCTCCCTTCATTACTATTTAAAGATTTTCCCAGTTATAATTACAGATTTACTGTACTTTATAAACTTTAAATGAATGTATATCTAAATTATGTAAAGTTTAAAATGTTTTTGTGTTAATCATATAAATGGTTAGTGGTGCAAATGGCTAAGAACATAATTCACAGTTAGCTGACCTCTGTCCTATAGGGTAGTGTGATATGTAGCCATAGCATGAATGCTAAATAATAGCCAGCCTGTGCTGATTGGTCAGAATGGTCAGATTTCTGTTTTTGTATTCAGTGTCCTTGACAGTGTTTACAGTATACCCTCTTCCAGGATTTTGTGTAACTAGTTATTTCAGGGATTCCAGAATAAAAAAGAAAAATTCATAGTGATGTCTTGTTTCCTCAGCCTTCTAGTACTGTGTGACTCCTCTCAACATGTTGGCTGGATCCCTGTTACAACAAATGCAGTAATAGATAAGGGCCACAGTGTGAACAAGATATCCGGGCTAAGGTCAAATAGCAGTTGATACTCACAGTACCTGTCCATACGTTTTAATTTTCAACATGCTTTTACATGCACTCTCTCATTCATCTAGGAGATAATTGTGGCAGAGTGGGAAATACCTTCATCATTGAATCACAAGACCTGGATTTAAGTCCTGATTCTGTTTCACTATCATATAAGCTTATCCAAGTTAGTTTATTTTTGACTTCTAGTTTCCTCATAGGTAGAAATGGGATAGAAATACCTATTCCAGCCAGGCACAGTGGTGCACACCTGTAATCCCAGCGACTTGGGAGGCTGAGGCAGGAGAATCAAGAGTTCAAAGCCAGCCTTAGCAAAAGCGAGGTGCTAAGCAACTCAGGGAGACCCTGTCTCTAAGTAAAATACAAAATAGGGCTGGGGATGTGGCTCAGTGGTCAAGTGCCCCCGGAATTCAATCCCCAGTCCCCCAACTCAAAATAAATAAATAAATATCTATTTCGTAGAGATAATGTAAGGATTAAACGAAATTCATTTTTCAACAAACATGTATTTATTAGGAGCCATGTGTCACTCATTATCAAAAGGTCTGGGGCTCCGGAGCAGAATTAGACACCATCCCTGCCTTCAGGGAAACTGTGGCTTAGTGGATGAGTCCCAGGACTTATATCCTCCCTTTTCTGGTACTCAAGGAGCAAAAAGAAATTTTTGGCAAGAGCAAAACCTACTATGGAAGGACTCAGAAAAAATATTTGCCCAGGGTTTAAAAACACAAATGGGTACAGCTGTTAGGTTTGCTGAGATGTTCTGGTTTACACCCATTATCCTAGTATTTAAACCCTGTGCTGCTTAAACAAGTGATGTCTGTCTTTTAGTTCTTGGTTTTCCACCCTTAGTTCTTGTCTAGTAATGCAGCCCTTTCTGTCCTGCTGCTCTCCCATCTTCTAATTTTCCGTTTCCCCATGTGTCTGCCATTTTTAGAAGTTTCAGCGTGAGCTAAGCACCAAGTGGATACTGAATACAGTGAGTACAGGGGCCCATGTTCTTCTTGGGAAGATCCTACAAAACTATATGTTGGACCTCCGCATTGGCAACTCCAAACTGTTCTGGAGGGCACTGGCCATGCTGCAGGTAAAATGATGGGGTGGGCCTGGCCTTAAAACCTAGGCTGCCATTGGAAGGCATTTTGCAGAGGCAGAGAGATGTGTAGTGGTAAGGGCTGATTTTTCTGCTTTGTGCCTTTCCTCCTCCTTGTGTCAGATGCATGCCCCCCTCTGAATGTGTGTGCACACATTGGTTCTTGTTTGTGAAACAAAAACTAGTAGGCAAGATTCTTTCAGCTACAAGTATGTAACACAAACCCCATTTATACTGGTGTAAACTAAACAAGGCAAATGATTGCTCCTATAGATGGAACAGTCTAGGGCAGCCAGATTCTCGGATGGTGGGACTGAGAAACTTCACCTCTTACCTCTACTTTCTTCTGTTGCTCTCATTCTGGGACAGATCTTCTCCAGTAGGTGGCAAATTGACCATAAGTAGTACCAGCCTGATATCCTTGCCAGTTTAGCAACCCCAGCAGGAAAAGACTCCATCTGTCCTGTGAGTCCCACAAATGCCTGGGGGAAGGTTCTCATTGGCTTGTCTTTGGTCCCCTGCACACCCCTGAACCAATCACTGCCCAACCTGATTCGTGTGCTTTCCCTACAACATGGTGATGGAGGAAAGGGTGGGAGGTGAGCTTCACAAAACTTGTGGCCTGAGCATGGGAAAACCATAGTTCTCTAGAGGAAAACAAGATGCATATTCCAGAAGGAGGAGGAACAGATGCTGAGCAGCTAGCATGAGGGATGACCTTGAAAGTAAAGTTGCCAATTTTAGCAAATAAAAATTCAGGTCAACCAATTAAATTTGAATTTCAGATAAATAACAAACACTTTTTTTTTTTAAGTATAAATGTTCCATGCAGTATTTGGAATGTATATGAATTTTTTTCCCATTATTTCACATACAACTGAATATCCTATATTTCTGTTTGCTATATTTGGCAGCCCTATGTGGAAAAAAATCAATATATCCAATATTTAATGAGCACCCATTGGGGTCTTGAAACAACCCATGGACCTACTGAAGTCCAATAGAACTTCAAAGAAGATGGGGTTGGTTTGCACTGTAGCAAGCAGAAGGCTTCATGGAAGAGGTGATATTTGATTTAGACTTGGTGGTTTTGACTTGGATAGTTGAAAGGCAGAACTGTATTCATATTAGTAAACACATTAGCCAAGGGTCAGAAGGAGGACTAGGTGTGTGCTATGTAGGGAACACAGACATGACTAGAGTGGAGAGTAACTTTACATAGTAATGAGGGATTACAAAGGAGCAGGGAGAGAAAGGATTGTGAAAAATTAAAGCCATTCAGGAATTTGGACTTGCCAAATATACGTAGATCTGTGCTGTCCAAAACAATGGTCAGCAGCCACATATGGTTCTAGAACATTTGAAATGTGGCTAGTGTGAATTTTTAATTTTATATAAAAATTAAAGTAGTGAAATTTTTCTTTCTTTTTTGGTACTGGGAATTGAGACCAGGGTTGCTTAGCCACTGAACTACATTCCCAGTCCCCCCATTTTTGGTAAGTTTTATTTTGAGACAATGTTAGGGCCTTGCTGAGTTGCTGAAGTTGGTCTCCAAGTTGGAACTCTCTTGCCTCAGCCTCCCAAGTTGCTGGGATTACAGGCGTGCACCACTGCACCCAGCTGAAAAAAATTTTTTCATTAAATCAACATTATTGTGTTTGTAGGACTGAACCTCACTTTTTAGCCTTGCATATCAAACACTCAAATTGAGGTGTGTTGTAATTGTAAATAAACCCCATATTTCATGGGGCTGGGATTGTGACTCAGTGGCAGAGCACTCGCCTAGCACGTGTGAAGCCCTGGGTTCAATCCTCAGCACCACATAAAAATAAGTAAATAAAATAAAGGTATTGTGTCCACCTACAACTAAATTTTTTTTAATAATAAAAAATAAATTTCAAAGATTCATTACAAAAATATCATAAAATATCTCATTCATAGTTTTTAATATTGCTTATAAGGTTGAAATAACTTTAATATGTTGGGTTGAATAAAATGTATCAACAATGATTTCACTCTTTTTTTTAACGTATCTATTGGAAAACTTAAAAGATTCATATGTGGCTTGCATTTTATTTCTGGCAGTGCTAAGCTAACAGAAGGATACTGACAAAATGGAAGTATTGTTTACTGATAGCTAGACAGCAATGTGCAGGGTGGATTTTATTAGGAAAGAAACTGGAGGGAGGGACTTCAGTTTAAAATTGCCTACCTATGGGGTTGCTGGGATGTCGTCGCAGAACTAATTCATCATTAATTCCAGTTTAACCCAACCTCATGGCCCACCACCAACTTCTTTTTTGTTTTATTTTATTTTTTTTAAATACATGACAGCAGAATGTATTACAATTCTTATTATACATATAGAGCACAAATTTTCATATATTTGTATAAAGTATGTTCATGCAAATTCACGTCTTTATACATGGACTTTTTTTCATTACAATTCTTATTACAGATATATACCACAATTTTTCATCTCTGTAAAGTAGGTTGACACCCAATTCGTGTCTTCATACATGTATTTTGCATAATGATGTCCATCACATTCCACCATCCTTGCTAATCCCCTGCCTCCCTCCTTTCCCTCCCTTCCCTCTTCCCTATCTAGAATTCATCTATTCATCCATGTTCCTCCTCCCTACCTCATCATGAGTCAGCCTCCTTATATCAGAGAAAACATTTGGCGTTTGTTTTTTTTGGGATTGGCTAACTTCACTTAGCATTATTTTCTCCAACGCTATCCATTTACCTGTAAATTCCAGGATTTTATTCTCTTTTATTGCTGAGTAAAATTCCATTGTGTATATATGCCACATTTTTTTAATCCATTCATCCACTGAAGGGCATCTAGGTTGGCTCCACAGTTTATCTATTGTGAATTGTGCTGCTATAAACATTGATGCACCACCAACTTCTTTAGCCCAGTTTTTCTTTACATTTGGGGATTTCAGGATTGCCCAAAGGGACAAATTCCCTGTAACCTCTATAGTCAATATTTAGGATCCTAGCCTCCCAATTCCCCAGTTCTTTCTTCTCTCCATTCTTAGTTCCCTTGGTCTTCTAGCCGACGCTGATCTTAACCATTTCTTCAACAGCGGTTCTCTGGGCAGTCCAACGCCCGATGCATTGAGAGTCTCCTCCAAGCTTGATCCACTTTCCTCAGCCTCTTTCGGATGAAATTCGGGTTGCTCCCATCTCCTGCCACATCCAAGTTGCACAGGAGAAGGAACAGGTAGCCTGCCCTCTGCTGGTGACTCAACAAACACTTACTGAATACTTTTAGTATGCCAGGAACTTTGCTTAATATTTGGTTTACAAAATTCAGTGATATTCTGCTGAGCCTTCTCTCCAGGAGCTCCCCATTCATGGGGAACATGATAGTGCAAGTGATAACAAGGTGTGAAGAATATACCAAAAAGAAATGCTCCCTTCTGGCTTGGAGGGGAGTCAAGAAGAAGAGTGGGGTCTTTGAGCTGGATTTTGAAGGATGAACAGTTTACTGGGTTAAGATGAAGTTTTCTTTCTGCTCTTTTTTTGTGTGGGGTGGGTGGGTACTGGGGATTGAACTCAGGGGCACTCAGCCACTGAGCTACATCTCCAAACCTATTTTGTATTTTATTTAGAGACAGTGTCTTACTGAATTGTTTAGCACCTCACCGTTGTTGCTGAGGCTGGCCTTGAACTTATGATCCTCTTGTCTCAACTACCTGAGCCACAGGCATGGGCCGCCACACCTGGCTTCCCTCTGCTCTTGAGCCACCTCATTACCACTTTCTAGTATTGAAAACAACCTATTTTTGCATCCAGCCTGATGGATGCTCTAGCTTCTCCAGGGTTCTTTCTTAGATGACTTCATCTTCTCTGTCTTTACTTCTCCTTGCCTCTTCCCCACAGGTAATCCCTGTAGCCTTGCTGAGCCTTCTCTTCAGATGCTCCATCCCTGAGGCTCAGGCACACCTGGCTGCAGCTCTGTCTGTCTGTGAGGCTGTCAGGAGCGCCCTTGCTGGACCAGGTCGGAAACGCAGGACAGACTCCCTGGAGTCTCTACAGCCTGCCCTGCAGTGACCTGGCATTTTCGGGTGTGAGGGAACCCAGCCCAGCTGAAGGGGACGTGTGCCAGCAGCACATGTGGTAGGAGGAAGAAATCCAGTTTCCAGGGTCACCAGCAGCACTTGGTGGGGAGAAAGATTTTCTCCATCTCAGGGGAAAATTCTTGCTCTTGACTCAGTGTCTCTCACTTTCACTGGCTTTTTCTGATTTTAGAAATAAAACTAAATTCCTATTTTGGAAAGTTATCCATCAAAGTCAGTAAGTCAGACTCAATAGACAAGGGTGGGACAGGATGACTGGCTTGAGTTGGTCCTGATGGCAGATTTGATTTTTTAATGATTTGTCCCATTCCTTTGCCCCCTAGTCCAAACCTCTTCTGACATCCCTGTATTCTCATCTGCAATAGGCAGGCATGCCTGCACGAGTTTGTGACAGACACATAAACAAGGAGAGGTGGGAAGTTTTAGGTAATTCCTGGGAGAGAGGAAGGAGTTGAGTCCCTAGCATAGGTGTAGCGAGGGGGCAAAATTGCGACGTATGCAGTCGAGGGGAGAAATAAAGAAGGTCCACGTGCTTCTGCCCCTTTCAGTGCTTTATTCACTCAAACTACTCAATGCAATTTCAACTCTAT